TTCCCCTATTCACCTCGCAAAGCCTTGTCAATTCGTCGCGCTAATTGCCATTTCATCGGACTCCCTCCGTTGATGCCCGCCTTATCAGACATACGTCAGCAAATAACCGTATTTTTCTTCATCTTCTTCTGCTTCTTGTTCTCTGATGATCTGCAGGTCACATCGCCTTCAGTGCTTTGGACGATACTTCGCACTCGGTGCACGTGTATAGCATCAATGGAGCCAGCCTGGGCTCCAAGTATGTGTCCGGGCGTGTCACAGGACTGGCCACTGCCTCGGACTATCTGGTGGTGGCCGACGATGCCGGCGACATAACCATGAGCCGCCTACACGGGTAAGTGGAGTGGGTTCCCCACAGATTGATTGACTCCCAATATAACTGAACTCTCAAACTGTTTGCAGGCTGAAGCCCGTCTTTGACATTCCGCTGCATGTGCCCATCCAGACGGTGGTCGTAACACCTGGCAATACGCATATCCTGGCGCCCCTACGTGACGGCCGCCTGGCCGTGGTGGCCGTGCAGCTCCCCCTAGCCGGCAGCAAAAAGCATTCCGTGCTCAATGTCTAGGCGGCCTCGACTCTAAGCTTTCCATATCACAATAGTTCTTTAGATTCCCTTTTTAATGCTTGACTTTTTGTGTCCCTTTGCCCATTTGTTTCTTATAGATGTATATTTATTTTTCGTGTCGTTACGTGCCAAAAAATCAAATTAAAATGGCCAAAAGCAGGCCAACAAATCACATATTCTGTTAGTTGGACTCGCCTCAAATAATTCTTTATAGATCAAGTTAAAGTAAAGTATCTAACAGATACACGAATTCCATTAGCTCTAATGTAAGCACTCGTTCTTCATGAGGTCTGTCAGACGTTAGCATACCCCGCACTTATTCATATCAGTTGATCAGATATACATAGGTTGCTGCAGAACAAATATCAGATACTTAGTTAGCATATATGGCATATCCCTGTATAGGCAGTTCTTTGTTGAAGGTGCTAGAATACCCCTCACTCATTCACCTCCCTCTGATAGAGGCGTAAGCTCATTTAAATGTATCTATGATTACCTATACCCTGTAATTGTGGCATTGGGCATAGTCTAACATACCCAAGCACTTGCTGGCAACACTTTCCTATGCCCTCCGCGAGTTCCCTTGAAGTATCTCTCAGCCTATGTCTATGTGGTATATAAATTGTATCTATCAGATACCCGTCGAATGCCATTAGCGCTAAGCGCAATTCCCTGTAAATCCAGCTTCTTCTAGGTGGCCCATCCATCTTTATTGTATCCACTGTCCGCTATCTATCATGCCCATCGCTCCCTTTCCCTCTCTTGCGCTCTTCCGCCCTCCCGCCCTGTTGCTTCGTATCTTTTGCGAGCAATTATTCACTTGTCTTTCGTGTCGGATCGCTTTGCAGCGCGGTACTTTGCGCGCGCCTTCCAATTAGCTTGACAAATTCGTATAAATCATTTATCATTAGGCTGACGTTTGTTGTGTTTCTTGCTTTTTATTTTCCTTATTTTATATATTTATATAAATTAGCACATCGTGCCGTCATTCAAGCGACAAAAACTGGTTGCCGGCAAGTGGACCGGTCCGTCTGTCCCTGCCCGATCTCTGTACCTCTCTCTCACTCTATCTCTCTCTCTGTCTCTGTCTCTGTCATTGCCCCTCTCGCTGCCTGCTGCCATTTCCGTTTGCACTGAGTCACGCGCGACTTTCAAATCGGCATCAAAATCTGCCCGGCAACAGCGCGGCGCGAGGTGGCGTTCAGCTTTTTGGCCACGCTCGAAAACTGGGGCCAACTTTCGTTGCCAGCATGAAGCACACACACACAAAAAAAAAACAAACTGTATCTGTACCTGCAGCTGCATCAGCATCAGTATCAGTATCTGCATCTGCATCTCGAGTGAATGCATTTCCAATTGACAACAAGTATTATATATCCTAAAATTAGAGTCCGTCCACGAATTTAAAGTTTTCGCAACGAAATTCCATTCGCTTTTGTCTCGTTTTCTTGGATGCCAGCACCCTCCCCCGACCTACCCTAGGACAACCTTTTCCAATGACAAGTGACAATATATAGTAGACGATCGTTTGAATAGGGTTTTGTCTGTTTTTGTCTTTCGCATTGCTCAACTTGTTACAAGCGCACAATCAGCACGTTATATACATACATACATGTATGTGTATACTATATATATATATATACCGTAGAGATTATCACAGAAGCTGCTCCTAACTATGCGTAACTCTCGACTTGTAGTGCGATCTATACGCAACATAAGTCAACTATGCAATTATTTACTTAAACACTTATCATCCTATCCCTCAATACTTAGAACAGGGCTGTCGAGAGGACTTCTAATTAATGGTTTCGAATTGTTTTCTGGAATGTCAATTTGAAGGACTATGAGTCATACGAGTTCAACAAACTCCGAGTTCAGTTAGGCTTTCCGAAATTCACTTGATTTTCGAGTCTTTTCTGAGATTCCCGTTTCGAACCGATTCGTTAACCGCTTCGCAGCCCTGACTTACATATATACGTAAATGCGTTTGCTCGTTATTTGTTACTAAGTGAAAAATACAAAACACAAAAAGTTCTCCGACCTTCCTTAGCTGTAATTACTGTAACACTGTATAGATTGTACCGAATAAACTGTGTCAATAAAATGTTGAAAACCAAACCAAAACCAATATAAGCAATGCTCAACTCCCACGTGTTCTTTTAATTATTTTTGTGTATTTATTCAAAAAACAAACACTTTAAATTCAATAATATAATATTTAAATATATAATGTAAAAAAAACCATAATTCAGTTCAATTAGCTTAATGTAAAACATAAAACATAATGTAAAGGGGCAACACTTCGTAAAGTTATGTAGGGCTTCCATGGGTGTGTGTATACTTATTTGTGTGTGTGTATGTATTATATAAAGACTGTTCTGTTAACCTCAGTGAATACTTTTCTCTTTCTTTTGTATGCTTGTATGTGTAAATGTATGCATGGATGGGTAAATGTATGAACGATGCGGGTTCAATAAATAAATTTTGTAGATATGAAATAAACGAATCTTTGCGTGAATTCATGACTTCGTTTATGCGTGAATAGGTAAATTCATATGCCTATAGTGCATTGGTGGATTGGTGTCTTCATTGGCTGGCTATACATATATAGACATATACATATATATAGCACATATATACATGTTTATTAAGTCACGGGCCAATTAATATCGTTAACTAGTGTCTTGCCTGATATAGTTAGGAACAAACATTGCTACTTACATATTAACGAAACTTGTTTACCTGAACAACTAAAAGCTAAAATTGAAGAAACAAGCAAATGCCTAATCAAACCTAATCAAATACCGTTAAAATTAATATTCGAGGTGGATGAAATAAAACAAAGAAATTATTGAAAACATTAAAGTCTAAGCCGGCATTAGATTCTAGAGTTAAACTTAAGCTTAAGCTTTCTTTTCCTTTTCATTTTTTTTTGTGTTTTTTTTTTTTTTTTTGAATTTTTTTAGTATTGGTTTTATCTTTTGCGCATCTTCAAAGGCATTTGATCTATCTAACTAACTAAAAATGTCCAATCGAATAGCCTTGGGTGGAATCTTTAGTCTTCCTTCTGCAATGAAAAGAAGCAGAGAATATATCGAGTTAGTATTGAAGATAAAATGCGGCTATGAAAAGTTATCGATAACACGAGTTATCGGCAGGAGAGGAGAATGAAGTATAATCGATATCTTTATAGATACTTACAAGTACGGGGTATACGAAGGTATCCGCTGAGTCTCGGCCCACAGCATTATGCGCTATGCACTTGTAGTTGCCCATATCCTCCCATTTAAGATCAGCGATCAGCAAATCTCCGGTGGGCAGGACCTTGAAGCGATGGCTCTGCACGATTTCCTTGTCCTCGTTGTTCCTCCAGGTGATCTTGGCGTGCGGGCGGGCGTGCACCTTGCAGGGCAACATGATGGTCGAGCCCATCAGATCCAGATGGGTTTTCTCGGTGTAGATGATGCGCGGCTTCTGCGGGCCCTGGTACTGCTTCTCGGGCACGATCAGGCTACCCAGCTCCTGGTCAGCGTGCGAGGGATGCACCACGGTGCTGGCATAGATGGTCTTGGAGCCAGTGCGTCCGATGCACGTGTAGATTCTCGGCTCGCTCAGCATGTGATCGACAATGTGCACGGAGCGCACACGAACGATCGCCGTGGGCGCATCCTCCGTGATCGAGTTCGTTTCCAGATTATCAATCTGAGAAGAGAGAGCAGAGTTGAGCTAGGGGATTCGAGGGACGGGTAATGGGCTGGCTGGACTTACCTCTGAGAGTGGCATGTGACCGACAATCCACTGGATGCTGGGCACCTGGGAGCCCATCATCTCGCAGACGATCTCGAGGGTGGCGCCGGGCGCCTGTTGCATCTTGTTTGGTGGAGTTTTGGTGAACTTCAGCCAGTCGTCCTCGAAGGCGCGGTTGCGGTGCTTCGACTGGGACTGCGGCACCTCCTCCGTCTCAATGGAGTTGTCCACATCGTTGCTGTCGTCCACAATGTCCACGGCGCGACTCTGGGCGCCCGAGAGGCTGCCAAACAGCAGCAGCGCTATAGCGCACAGATTTAAATTCATTTTCTGCAATGAGTCGAGAGGCGGAAGGGGCGTGGCTTAGTGATAGAACGGTTCAAAGTTCAATATCATTCCACTTATAATATAGGTTAATAAACCCACAATCATCATCGGAGCATCGCTGCAGTTATCAGCTAGAATGTGCCAAGTCCGTTATGCCAGGCTAAATCCGAGGCTATAAATCACAATGTCGACTGATACCAAGCGGACGGCCGTACGGATCGATCGGCGGATGGACGGATGGATGATAAGAATCGAAGCGTGAACCGTGAATCGTGACTTGAGGAATCACGCAACGAGCCACGGCTGCAGTGGCAGGCGTTTGCAAATTCTCTTGCAATATTATCAACGTAGCTAAATATCAGCTATCTATATAGTATATCTATATTTCTAGAAATTTCATTTTTTAAATTGCATAATTGCATTGTGAGAATTTTAAATATTTCCTGCTCAACAAATTTCACAATTTTACTTAATAATTTACGGCCAAAAGCTGCTTGAATTGACATGTGACTTAAATTTGTTTCACATTTCGCTTTTCTTGCAGTCCAAAATGCTAAACTCAAGCTAAATTTATTTAAAATTATTTTACTCTAAATCTGTCTCTTTCCCACTAACAGCAAAGCTTGTGGCGCAGCTGGCTTAGTGGAAGGATGCGCGCTTGGTAAGCGTTAGGACCCGGGTTCGAGCCTGCCAGCAATCCATTTTTTAAATCTTTATTTTACAAAACTTTTTTTTTTCTTTATATTTTTTTAATTTAAAGAAGTAAAAAAAAAAAAAATTATTTGGAAGACTAAAAAAATAAAATAAAAAATAATAAAAATATTAAATATTTTTTCTTAAAACACGTGATTCATTTTCGAAAAACATCTCAATTCGTTCACTCCAGCAGATGTATACCTTAACCAACTTATCCAAATCCAATGAAAAATTTGTTTCTCACTTCAAGGTAAAGAGATCCTAGCGAGAAGCGCGACCAACCCCTAGTTAATGAAGATCTTCCCAGCCGTCGACTAAGCATTTTACAATTTCACAATATCACGCGGTCTGGGGACACCGAAATAGAACAAACGATGATAAATTGTGGACAAAGAACTCACGTAGGCAGCAACACTCAACACTTAAGTAGATCAAAAAATAAACCAAAAAAAAAAAATTGAGAAATCGAAAAAAATGGGAAAAAAAAAACCCAGACAGAAGAATTGAAAATCGAAATCACATTGTTTGGGGCTGTGACGTCAGCTCCTTGATGAACGCGCCCACGCGCCATGGATCAAAGGCCGAGCATAATTAGCCAGACCGACCGATCCTATACTATAATGCCATATACCATATACCCTCACCGTATATTCGACAAGGGCGTGACCACTTAAGTTATTCAATTCGGTATGCATAGCATTATAGTCTGGCACTCTATATAGAGTGTGTCGTCTGGCGATTCGCTGGCAAATGTTGCATCAGATTTTCGACTCGATTTGCCCTTCGGCGTGGATGGGGTTTTTTGCTGATTCGCTGAATGGCTGAATATGTGATTTATTTTTCTTCGAATTTTGTTCGTTCGTGCTTGTCTATTTTAACTTGGTATTTCGTCGAATCGCTAATCGGTAAATATGCGAGGATTTGTGAAGTGTTTGGCTCACCTTTTGATTTGATTTCTTTTTTCTCTTCCGGTAAAAAATGTTTGCGGTTTTCTCCCTAAGTGGGCGGCGTTTAGAAGCGTTTGGCGTTCGCGTCTTTTGATTGAAGGCGCGAGCTGCTCGAATCTCACAACTTTTTGTTATGTTATGAAGGAGTTTATCAGCTCTAAGTTGTGCTGGCTGCGGAATTGGGCCTTTTGATTGAAATTCAGCAGCAATTGAGTTAACAATGACATAGAGTCGGCGCGGTGTGCCGTTTTGGTAGCTGTGCAGCTTAGCTTTGGTGAAATTTTGATTGTTTTTCTTTATTTTGCAACGCAAAAGCGCCTGCGACGAGCTGCTTCTATTTTGTTCCTTTTCCTGTTCCGGTTCCGGAGCGTAGTGCAAAATAGTGTGCGTATTTGACTTCGATCTTCAACCGTAGCGTATGTCCAGCTCAAAGCTTGGGCACATTCGTCTCAGTGTTGAAGAGTGTTAAGGTTGTGGAACGAGGGGGCGGGGCTTCAGCACGATTCCTTGGTAACTGTTACAAATTGTTGTTTCTTGACGCGGCACTCTTTATAAGACGCACGGTTCATCGACATTACAAGTCAAGGTAGGCTTTTGATTTACTTTTTCTTTTTGTTGCTTTTTCTGTTCGAGCGGTCAGAAAGCGGTCAACGTTGCAGCGAGTAGAGCGAGGCGCACACTTAAGTTGTGTTCAACAGCTGAAAACTGTCACAGAACTGATTCCGCTACGCAGCCGACTTCATTTTATATGCGCCAGAGCCGAACAGAGCAGAGCAGAGCAGAGCCGAGCAGAGCAGAGCGCCGCCATTGACACGCACTGCTCTCTTTCTTCAACTCGCTCTCGTGCTCTCGCTCTCTCTCACACACTTACACACCGATCGCCGGCGGACGCTGCTGTGCCCTTCGTATTGCTGTCTGCACTTCGTTTCTGTTAGTTCGGGCCAAACTCACTTCGTTGGCAGCAATAACTCACACACACACACACATCCAAACAAGATGAGCAGCGCGTTCACAGTGATCGGAGCCGGAACGAAACGAAAGAACAGTTCATTTATCATTTGATCTCTTGGCTATTTGAATGCAGTTTGAGCCGCTCCGGCCGGCAATTGCGGCGGCGCGCAAACTTTCCATAGACTAAGCTCGGACTGCAATGGAAGTGGCTTCCAGCGGGTAGAGGTACAGTTCTACATGGGAATGACCCGTCGCACTTTCAATTCCTAGCCAATAGTTGCTTTACCCTTGACTCAATGCGCCTCAGCTGCGACGGGGGCGGGGTTGGGGACCCGAATGAAACCAGTTGACAACGACAAGAATTTAAATGTGAACAGTGCACTGAGAGAAATATATGCTCACTTCTAACTGGGTTTATATATTCATATGTACATACAAATAATACAAAATTCAATTAATTTACTAAGGAAATATGTATATTTGCTTTGATTTCCAATGAATATTATTTTCTGCTTTTTCTGGCCGTGTAGCAATTCTCGTGCTGCTTCTTTCCACCACATTCGTACGTGCCTGGCGGCATGGCTTTTAAACGCCGCAGTCCAGGCGAGCGACAGCTCAACGCTGCAAGGTTCCATTCGTCGCGACTCGCGACCCAACACGCCACGCCCCCTCGCTGCAGCGACCCGCTGCTGCCGCTGCTGCTCTGCTGCTGCTGCTCAGCACAGTTGATTCATTGCAATCAAGTGAGTGCCAGTTTGTCTGCTGCGTTCGCTCGGTTGAGGGCAGAAAACCACAAATGTAAGCGGGGGCCAGCGAGTGGGAGGGGGACAGCAAAACTTGTTGCCAGAGTGAAGGAAGCAGGCAGATAGACTGAGCGCGTGCGAGAGCGAGAGGAGAGCACAGTGGGACGGGGAGCAGTCACAATGGCAGACAGACTGGCAGCAATTCAACAGATCGCGTGTTCGCTTTCCGCTGTGCCGCTGTGTCGCTAGTTACGTGTGGTTCAGAGTGGGTCTGGTGGATCTGTTGAATCTAGTGGGACGGTGGGGCGGTTGTTGCGGCTGCTGCGGCTGCTGTGCCTGTGCCGGTGCCGGTGCCTGTGCCTGTGCCTGTTGCTGGGCGGCAGCCAGAACTGGTGCCCGGGGCTCGTATTCTCGCCGCACTAACTAGCTAGCTCTGACTAGTTTTATTCATTTGTCGGCAAAGTCAACCAGCAATATACAATATATGTACATATATATACGCTAATTATATATATGTACAGATATACATATATATTCATTGCACCATCTTGCCCCAGTCGCTCTGCTCGACTCCCACATTTGGCAGCTGCCAATTGCCAAGCGAAACTCAATTGAAATCAAGCAAATTGCTGCAGCTGTGGCGAATTGATCTCGTGCCCTTCTGGTGACAGGCGGCAAAGGCGACCAACAACGTAACGAGTAGCTAACGTAACAAATTTGACGTAACGGCATTAGATCGATTACTAGATCAAACACCACTGCCTTATTGATTCAATTACTGCTGTTGCAGCCGAACGAGATTCGAGCAGATCTGATGACGTTCCAGGAAAAGCGCACGCACTCGAAATACGGATGCAAACTGTACGCGCTTCTCTCCATGGTATAACAGTTATGCGTGCACATAGTATAACAGCTGCGCTCATTCCAAATTGTTTGCTTCAGGAAATTTCGTGTTCATTTTAGATCGGTCGTTGCTACAATCGGTATAACAGTTGTACAAAACATATCAAAATGATTCATGCCTATGACTCATGCTTAATTTGGTTTAAGAAGGACTTTTAGATGGATATTCTTAGCTTCCAGATGATTTGCATATGAAAAGGGATTTTATAACTCTTGAAAAGTATTTCCTATGTAAGAGAAATTTATCGTCTATGCTTCATTGTATGACAATGAATTAATTATGGGAATTTCCAAGAAATAAATACAAAATATATCGAGCAGTGTAGCCAAAGCAGTTCGCGTTAAATGAGCACAATGAATGGGAAATACATATACATATGTATATGTATACTCATAGGCCTTGGCACCGCTTGGTACCGATCGGCAATCGATCGAACGCGACAAACCATCAATTTATTACTCTCCAAAAAAGATGAAAGAAAAAGATACAATTTCCTAGAAATAAGAAAGGTCGAAAACTGGGCGAATCATACGATCGTACGATCGTACGATCGCCTAATTGTTTCATCGTCCGATCGTCTGATCGTAGCATTTCGCCATTATTTTGTTGGCCCCAATTATTGCATCATGGCATATGCAGCGAATGCTGGTAGAAAGATGCACACTCGACTAACAGAAAAGATACAACAAAAATACACATAGTTGAAAAGAGACAAAACATACAAAAATACAAAAAAAAAAAAAATGGTTAAAAGAGCTCGCTTTGCCGTCTACGTTTGCACTTTTCTGCTAATTAACGGGCAACAGCCACCGGAACTGGGCTGAGACTCATTCGACTCATTCAAAGTCAGCAAACAGACGGACGGACAGACAGAGACAGGGACAGACAGATAGAGAGATATGCAGTTCGGGGAAAAGATAGTGCAACATGCAACTGCCAAGACAAGTCAAACACACACAGGCACACACACACACGCACACAAACGTATATTGTGCAGGCATGTGAATTGCAGGTTATTTCAATCGTCTACACACATACAGAAACATATATACATACATACATATGCATACATATCTACACCTGGCTGGCGACGTGAGAAAATTCATGTGCATGCCACAAATTCTGTGCCGTCGTTGCCAATGTAGCATTTTTTTCTCTACTTCTTCTTTTTTTCTGTCTGATAAAGTCCAAAAAAATGCGCTTGGCAACAGCCTCGCGCGACCTCGACCCCAGGCTGTGGCTGTATTTGAATAAACGTTACTTTTTGCCTTGAGGGATATTTTACAAATGATAGAAATTTCCCTTTCAAGTGCGTATAATAGTTATGCATATAAAAGATATTCATTTGCGGCAGCGTATGTAGGTATAACACAATTACATAGCCGCGCATGCTCACCGTACTCATGGGTGTCAATGTGTGTCTGTGTATTGGTGTATAAAAGCAGTTGTAATGGAAAATTTATGAAACCACTTTTATTCCTCATAATTTTGTTTTTTTTTTTTGGATATGGAAAATTTTTTCTCGAACTGAATTACAATTAACGATAATTGTTGCGATTGCGAGTGCCATTGGCATTAACTAAAAAAATAAATATACATATATATGTATGTATGTGTACCTAGAAAACGCGAGCACTTCCTCAATAGCACACATATGCATAAAACTGTGTAATTTATCAATTAACCTATGGAGTGTGCTATGCCCACTGCGCGTTTGTATGTGCTTAGCGCGTATGCCAGTATGTGTGTGTGTGTGTGTGTGTGTGTTCGTTCTGCTTCCCTTGCATTCTTTGCGCGCATAAATTGAACTCTATGTAAGTGTGTGTTTGTGTGTGTGCGCGCCCTGTCTTTGGTTACCTTTTGTTGAATTGTGCAACCGAGCTGTGAGCACTCATCACCATCAGCAACACCAACACCAACACCAATACCAAAGTGGTGCCGACCGACCACCACCGAAGCAGCCGATTCCGAGTGGCTTCGACTCTCGCCCAATTCACTTCGACGATTGCATCAGCCATTTCCACGCCGCACACGGAGTCGCCCGGCAGCGCTGCGCCGTTGCGCTTCGTGTTGAGCGCGCTTGAACGGTAAAGCCGAGCATAACCCATAAGCCCTTGCCCTTGTCTCGCTCGCTCACATGCTGCGTGCAGTGCGTGCTAAGCTGTTGCGCTGAGTCATAGTGCTTGGCAGGTGGCATTAACCAAAAGACAGGCAAGATTAGGTTTAATACACAAAAAATAAAGCCTCAAGTCTTACGCTTTCCAGCTGCATTAGTAAATGAGGGTGTACGTCAGAGCTGCCAACTGGCATATTTTAATCAGCTCTAATTTTAATGATTTATAGGACTTAGATTTCGTCGGTTGACTTAAATTCGCCTGATTCGAATTCATTCTAGCAAGCTGTCGAAATATGTATATAGTTTCACATTTGTGTTTTATTTTTTGAAAAGAAAAACAATCAAATCATTTCCACTTATAGATGCGATGACGTCTGTAGATGTTTTCAACTTTCCGCTATTATCAACGCACACTTCAATAGAGCTTAAAAAACAATTATGTATGAATGTTTATTCAGAAAATAATAAAAAAGGGGGCTCGTTGCCTCACACATGTACACACACACACACACACACACACACAGAGACATCGAGGACAGGGCCAAGCGCCGCAAATGCCCGACAATTAACAATTTCTCCTAATTGACATCATTTATCAGTTCACACACATGCAAACATATTCACATACATACATGCACACTTATACAATTCTATACTTTTTGTTTTGTAGCATAATTGACTGC